AAGTTCCCTTTATTTCCAAATTTATCTTCATATTGCACTAATTTTCTTACCAACATACAAAGTATTTGCGATAATTATACATGATGGTCCAAATTTGACATGTTTATAAGATATTACTATATTAGCAGGGGATAAAGCACATTTGATGTCGCACCTTTTTTTTAAACTCAACATGTTATTTTAAATCCAGTTATAAATTCCTCCCCTGAGTAAAATGCAAGAGTGATTTTTAAAATATCATTATTTTCTTTGGGTGTTTAAATCAAAAATGATAAATGTTATTACCTCGAAAATTTGTACCCCTTAAAAAAATAATAGGTACGAAAATGAATTTTACATAATATGTAAAATTCTTTAACTATTTTTCAAAATAAAATATTTATTTGAGACAATAAATTATGACAAATTTAGAAAATCACCCTATATTTTCTAAAAAGGATTTATAACATAACTAGGCATTTCATGTTTTTTTTTTCTCAAAAAAGGTGACAATGGTGGGTTATAAGGTTTTGATATCCAGTTGTATCATGTAAAAGCGTCGAATTTTGTCCACCATGTACAATAAAATAGCTAAGATTAAATAAAAAATATAAAATTATTTTCATTATTATAACATTACTTTCTTACCAAAAAATGTAGCAGTGAAATCAAAGAAATTCAACGACGGAGACTATATTTGATTATAAAAAAATGCATTACTTTGAGCCCATCCCATCAAGTTGGAGATTTACCATGCCCCGTTTTTCACCCTTAAACAAATAAGGAAAAAAATTAAATAAACAAAAATAATACTAAACGTTAGTCATTTCCAATTTTATTTTTTTTTAACTTTAGTAGCTTGAAAAATCTTTAAAATGGGAAAAGACAGATATTGCTAAAATTGTATAAATAATAACACATACAAAAAAAGTTTTATATTGTATTGTATTGGGTGTACAAATATTATGAATATGCAAATGTTATGTATAATAAAAGTGTCCTTTGAATGAGATAAAGAAATACGAACCTTATCATGTCTCTCCTTCTATTTGACCTCTTGTAAAGTTTAGTTTTCTTTTTGTTGTAAGTATCTCACTTTTAGATTTGTATCAGTTTTATATTTAATAAAAGCTAGTTATTCCTAATTAGTATTTTGGCCAATACAACTTCTTAGCCATGCAATAAAGAGATCTTCTATAATTACCTAAAATTTTAACCCCAAAAATGTAGTTGGAAATACAAATTAAGTATGTAATAAAGTGAATGTTTTTAAAGGAATTTTATGTACTTATTATTAATTTACTTACCAAGTGGTTTTTCTTTTATCAGTAGCAGTAAATTGCTTGCGATTTTTTTTTTGTCAACCATTATAATACTTCAACTAAACGAACTCAAATTGAACTTTTATAATATATATTCAAAGTACCTCTCGACACTCACATAAATTGGCTGGAATTAATCAGTAAAGATTCATCTGTCAAAGTAAATGACAAGCAGAGCTGACAGAGGAAGCGACGTTGCCAGTTCACGTCATCATTAAAAAGTAACAGAAGAATTCAGCAGGTACTACACCTTTAGTAAAAGATTCGGGTTTAACGAGTCATTAGATATTTAACGATCATTGTTGCAACCCGCTGTAAGACTGTTGCCGGGTTAATTTTTTAGATTTAATATATTCGGCGAGAGTAGCGTTTACACTTATTTTTAGTAATTGTATTTTCGTCGTTTGGACAATATAATTGTAGTTTTCGTATTTATGTGTTTTCTTTTGACTAAGGTTTATCCGAGTTCTCACGTATTAAATTTGATATAAAATACTTCTCATCCATTAAATAGACAGGTGAAGGTCGTTTCCCTACTCGGATCTTAGACTAATTAGTTTTCCTCATTTAAATTATCTAATTTATTTTGCATACCTTTATGGAGCTTTAGGAAATGAAAAAACTAGTATTCTAATCCATTCGAGGTAGACATAGGCGACAAACTTGTCTCTTTCTTTTAGATTCCATCAGTTCACTAAAAAATTATTTTGCTTCAATAAAATAAATAAAAATATGAAAATAGCTTAGCACATACCACAAAAAGTGTTTGATTAAACACAGGTTTACTAAACAATGTTCATAAAATAGACAAAGAAAAACACTAAACACAGATTTACTCAATAATTGGTAAAAAATATACGAACGAAAACACTAAAACACTAAATTCGATAAAAAAATACGAAATTGTAAATAACTGATCCTGACACATCAAAACAACACCCGCATGTGACACGATAGTTTTGCCGGTTACAAAATGGCGGCCCTGATCATGCGCAAAAAATTTTGGACCCCAAAAATTAGTTATCCTTCGCTTCTGTAATACTAATAGCTAGGTTATTTTGTGGTATTTCTATCACTTTTTCTATTAGTCAGTCCATGGTTATAATCGTGTATTTATTTATAATTTTTCTGCACATCAAATTCACTTCGTTTTAAAATATTTATTAATTGTTTTGTTATTGTTATTAATTTATTCATACCTCCAATAAATGTTCTCCAGATCGACAATATCAGTAACTAAAGCAGTAGATTTTTCTCTAACGTGTGCAATTATCTGCCCCAATTGTCTACATTTTGATCTAAGCGTATTTAATTCATCGTCCTTTTCTTCAATTTTATCGTGGTAATTTCGGTTTTCAAGTTTCATAGTTTCGAAATCGCCTAAATACAAGCCAGTGCTTATATAATCTAATTCGTTTAGTTCTTTCTCCTTCTGCGCCACTCTTGTACTTAATAAAATAAATAGAAACTTTTTATTGGACATATTATATTTTGAGAAGTACTAATTACCTTTCACGATAGAACTCCAACCTCAGATCACAAATATATTGAAAATATCTTTTCTGTCTATTCAGCAACATGTTAATTCTATTTTCTGTCAATTCTTTTCCAGTCGATCGAAAGCTCATACCCTTTGCTACATCATGCTCTCTCTTTTGAAATGAATCAAACTCTCCCGCTAGATGGTCGGCTTTAATATTTCGTTTCTTTTGCATAATTTCAATCTAGAAAAGCTTAAAGATTAGATATCTTAAATTTTTGTATTTTTGGTAACTAAATATTTAAGTAAAGTCTGGGACAGGTGGTTGATACTATAATTATAATACATCCAGTATATCGCCAATAAAATAATTCACTTTTGGTACAAAAAAAAACTTATTTCCACACCTTCTTTAGGTAGAGTAAGCAGCGCGTTTTTCTTTATTTTCAATGGAATTTGCGAGTTTTTTTTTGAGATAGAGATAGAGATAGAGATAGAGATAGAGATAGAGATAGAGATAGAGATAGAGATAGAGATAGAGATAGAGATAGAGATAGAGATAGAGATAGAGATAGAGATAGAGATAGAGATAGAGATAGAGATAGAGATAGAGATAGAGATAGAGATAGAGATAGATAGAGATAGAGATAGAGATAGAGATAGAGATAGAGATAGAGATAGAGATAGAGATAGAGATAGAGATAGAGATAGAGATAGAGATAGAGATAGAGATAGAGATAGAGATAGAGATAGAGATAGAGATAGAGATAGAGATAGAGATAGAGATAGAGATAGAGATAGAGATAGAGATAGAGATAGAGATAGAGATAGAGATAGATAGAGATAGAGATAGAGATAGAGATAGAGATAGAGATAGAGATAGAGATAGAGATAGAGATAGAGATAGAGATAGAGATAGAGATAGAGATAGAGATAGAGATAGAGATAGAGATAGAGATAGAGATAGAGATAGAGATAGAGATAGAGATAGAGATAGAGATAGAGATAGAGATAGAGATAGAGATAGAGATAGAGATAGAGATAGAGATAGAGATAGAGATAGAGATAGAGATAGAGATAGAGATAGAGATAGAGATAGAGATAGAGATAGAGATAGAGATAGAGATAGAGATAGAGATAGAGATAGAGATAGAGATAGAGATAGAGATAGAGATAGAGATAGAGATAGAGATAGAGATAGAGATAGAGATAGAGATAGAGATAGAGATAGAGATAGAGATAGAGATAGAGATAGAGATAGAGATAGAGATAGAGATAGAGATAGAGATAGAGATAGAGATAGAGATAGAGATAGAGATAGAGATAGAGATAGAGATAGAGATAGAGATAGAGATAGAGATAGAGATAGAGATAGAGATAGAGATAGAGATAGAGATAGAGATAGAGATAGAGATAGAGATAGAGATAGAGATAGAGATAGAGATAGAGATAGAGATAGAGATAGAGATAGAGATAGAGATAGAGATAGAGATAGAGATAGAGATAGAGATAGAGATAGAGATAGAGATAGAGATAGATAGAGATAGAGATAGAGATAGAGATAGAGATAGATAGAGATAGAGATAGAGATAGAGATAGAGATAGAGATAGAGATAGAGATAGAGATAGAGATAGAGATAGAGATAGAGATAGAGATAGAGATAGAGATAGAGATAGAGATAGAGATAGAGATAGAGATAGAGATAGAGATAGAGATAGAGATAGAGATAGAGATAGAGATAGAGATAGAGATAGAGATAGAGATAGAGATAGAGATAGAGATAGAGATAGAGATAGAGATAGAGATAGAGATAGAGATAGAGATAGAGATAGAGATAGAGATAGAGATAGAGATAGAGATAGAGATAGAGATAGAGATAGAGATAGAGATAGAAGATAGAGATAGAGATAGAGATAGAGATAGAGATAGAGATAGAGATAGAGATAGAGATAGAGATAGAGATAGAGATAGAGATAGATAGAGATAGAGATAGAGATAGAGATAGAGATAGAGATAGAGATAGAGATAGAGATAGAGATAGAGATAGAGATAGAGATAGAGATAGAGATAGAGATAGAGATAGAGATAGAGATAGAGATAGAGATAGAGATAGAGATAGAGATAGAGATAGAGATAGAGATAGAGATAGAGATAGAGATAGAGATAGAGATAGATAGAGATAGAGATAGAGATAGAGATAGAGATAGAGATAGAGATAGAGATAGAGATAGAGATAGAGATAGAGATAGAGATAGAGATAGAGATAGAGATAGAGATAGAGATAGAGATAGAGATAGAGATAGAGATAGAGATAGAGATAGAGATAGAGATAGAGATAGAGATAGAGATAGAGATAGAGATAGAGATAGAGATAGAGATAGAGATAGAGATAGAGATAGAGATAGAGATAGATAGAGATAGAGATAGAGATAGAGATAGAGATAGAGATAGAGATAGAGATAGAGATAGAGATAGAGATAGAGAGATAGAGATAGAGATAGAGATAGAGATAGAGATAGAGATAGAGATAGAGATAGGATAGAGATAGAGATAGAGATAGAGATAGAGATAGAGATAGAGATAGAGATAGAGATAGAGATAGAGATAGAGATAGAGATAGAGATAGAGATAGAGATAGAGATAGAGATAGAGATAGAGATAGAGATAGAGATAGAGATAGAGATAGAGATAGAGATAGAGATAGAGATAGAGATAGAGATAGAGATAGAGATAGAGATAGAGATAGAGATAGAGATAGAGATAGAGATAGAGATAGAGATAGAGATAGAGATAGAGATAGAGATAGAGATAGAGATAGAGATAGAGATAGAGATAGAGATAGAGATAGAGATAGAGATAGAGATAGAGATAGAGATAGAGATAGAGATAGAGATAGAGATAGAGATAGAGATAGAGATAGAGATAGAGATAGAGATAGAGATAGAGATAGAGATAGAGATAGAGATAGAGATAGAGATAGAGATAGAGATAGAGATAGAGATAGAGATAGATAGAGATAGAGATAGAGATAGAGATAGAGATAGAGATAGAGATAGAGATAGAGATAGAGATAGAGATAGAGATAGAGATAGAGATAGAGATAGAGATAGAGATAGAGATAGAGATAGAGATAGAGATAGAGATAGAGATAGAGATAGAGATAGAGATAGAGATAGAGATAGAGATAGAGATATAGAGATAGAGATAGAGATAGAGATAGAGATAGAGATAGAGATAGAGATAGAGATAGAGATAGAGATAGAGATAGAGATAGAGATAGAGATAGAGATAGAGATAGAGATAGAGATAGAGATAGAGATAGAGATAGAGATAGAGATAGAGATAGAGATAGAGATAGAGATAGAGATAGAGATAGAGATAGAGATAGAGATAGAGATAGAGATAGAGATAGAGATAGAGATAGAGATAGAGATAGAGATAGAGATAGAGATAGAGATAGAGATAGAGATAGAGATAGAGATAGAGATAGAGATAGAGATAGAGATAGAGATAGAGATAGAGATAGAGATAGAGATAGATAGAGATAGAGATAGAGATAGAGATAGAGATAGAGATAGAGATAGAGATAGAGATAGAGATAGAGATAGAGATAGAGATAGAGATAGATAGAGATAGAGATAGAGATAGAGATAGAGATAGAGATAGAGATAGAGATAGAGATAGAGATAGAGATAGAGATAGAGATAGAGATAGAGATAGAGATAGAGATAGAGATAGAGATAGAGATAGAGATAGAGATAGAGATAGAGATAGAGATAGAGATAGAGATAGAGATAGAGATAGAGATAGAGATAGAGATAGAGATAGAGATAGAGATAGAGATAGAGATAGAGATAGAGATAGAGATAGAGATAGAATAGAGATAGAGATAGAGATAGAGATAGAGATAGAGATAGAGATAGAGATAGAGATAGAGATAGAGAGATAGAGATAGAGATAGAGATAGAGATAGAGATAGAGATAGAGATAGAGATAGAGATAGAGATAGAGATAGAGATAGAGATAGAGATAGAGATAGAGATAGAGATAGAGATAGAGATAGAGATAGAGATAGAGATAGAGATAGAGATAGAGATAGAGATAGAGATAGAGATAGAGATAGAGATAGAGATAGAGATAGAGATAGAGATAGAGATAGAGATAGAGATAGAGATAGATAGAGATAGAGATAGAGATAGAGATAGAGATAGAGATAGAGATAGAGATAGAGATAGAGATAGAGATAGAGATAGAGATAGAGATAGATAGAGATAGAGATAGAGATAGAGATAGAGATAGAGATAGAGATAGAGATAGAGATAGAGATAGAGATAGAGATAGAGATAGAGATAGAGATAGAGATAGAGATAGAGATAGAGATAGAGATAGAGATAGAGATAGAGATAGAGATAGAGATAGAGATAGAGATAGAGATAGAGATAGAGATAGAGATAGAGATAGAGATAGAGATAGAGATAGAGATAGAGATAGAGATAGAGATAGAGATAGAGATAGAGATAGAGATAGAGATAGAGATAGAGATAGAGATAGAGATAGAGATAGAGATAGAGATAGAGATAGAGATAGAGATAGAGATAGAGATAGAGATAGAGATAGAGATAGAGATAGAGATAGAGATAGAGATAGAGATAGAGATAGAGATAGAGATAGAGATAGAGATAGAGATAGAGATAGAGATAGAGATAGAGATAGAGATAGAGATAGAGATAGAGATAGAGATAGAGATAGAGATAGAGATAGAGATAGAGATAGAGATAGAGATAGAGATAGAGATAGAGATAGATAGAGATAGAGATAGAGATAGAGATAGAGATAGAGATAGAGATAGAGATAGAGATAGAGATAGAGATAGAGATAGAGATAGAGATAGAGATAGAGATAGAGATAGAGATAGAGATAGAGATAGATAGAGATAGAGATAGAGATAGAGATAGAGATAGAGATAGAGATAGAGATAGAGATAGAGATAGAGATAGAGATAGAGATAGAGATAGAGATAGAGATAGAGATAGAGATAGAGATAGAGATAGAGATAGAGATAGAGATAGAGATAGAGATAGAGATAGAGATAGAGATAGAGATAGAGATAGAGATAGAGATAGAGATAGAGATAGAGATAGAGATAGAGATAGAGATAGAGATAGAGATAGAGATAGAGATAGAGATAGAGATAGATAGAGATAGAGATAGAGATAGAGATAGAGATAGAGATAGAGATAGAG